GTCTGTAGAGTTTTCCATCTGGTGTGGGTGAGTGATAGTCTACTTTGATTTTGGTTAAGGTGGATTATCACTTACAGTGTAATCAGTGAGGGGATTCTACAGACTGTTGAGGGTTCAGTCTCCTGATGAGTTGGTGAAACTCCGACGAAACAGTTTGTCACAGCCCCTCGTTTGTTGTCCTCTTCTCCCTCTCTGCCTACCGTTTACCGGGCAGTTCTATTTGATGATATATAGGTCTTCCATGCGCTCATCCACCCCATCCTTACAATGTGTGTCCTTTCTGTCGTCAAGGACAGCCTCATTCTTGAGCTTTTCCCTGTGTTAACACCTTCCCCTTCACTCTGCCTCTCTCACAGCGTGCAAGTGGGCTGTTAAGGCATACAGGGATGGGGGCAGCTCGCGCTCAACTTCATCAACGTGGCGAGCTTTGCATGTGAGAGGCACAGTGGAGGTGTTGTTTTTTCTTTTTCTTTTTCTTTTTATTTTTGCATGTTATCACTGTGCCTGGTTTTTGTTTTTATTCTTTGTTCCGCAAAGTGGGCTCTTTTAGTTTGTACTATGTAGTTATGTGACAATATATATACACATAATACATAATACATATAGATATATATTATTTTTGGTTCCAGAACCCCAAATAACCCCATCAACACCCTCATGGCCCTCCCCAACACCCCCATACACCCCCTCAACACCCCCATACCGCCCCCTAACCCCCCTCATACCCCCCCCTTAACCCACCACAACCCCCTATAACCACCCTATACCTCCCTGTATAACCACCCCCCCCGCAAAAAAAAAGAATTATTGCGGATTGGCCAATCTGGGCTGCTCTCCTCAAGCCGCGCACGACCACGTAATCAGACAAAAAAAAAAAAAATTGTCAGGCAGTCTTCCGACCACCAACAGGTCTGCCTATGGGTCGGCCCGACTGGTAGGCCCGCCTACCGCCTACGGTAGGCGTCAGCGGTAGGCGCCAAAACTACCCTGCCGACAAAGGCAAAGTGTCGTTGCATAATAAATTTTCATAAAATCAACTTCTACACACAAAGGGCCTTTGGTATCTTCACTTAACCCCATATGTTTATGGGTCATGAAGACATTGCAAAAGTCTACAAGCGTCCACCCACAATCATCACTGTCTGGGCCCATGGATCAGGGTCCTAGACCAGAAGAACTGTGAATGCTCATGGATCAGGGTCCTCATGCAAAAGAATGGCCCAAATTTTTATTTTCAAATTCATTTTAGAAATTTAGAATTAACTTCATTCCCTCTGTTCTGCAGGGTAAATAGGAATCCTGCAGTGACGCACCCATCAGTCCATCTGAACTTAATCCTCTCTGAAGGAAACCATTCAATGATGAGGGAGGTTTCTCTGGCCATAACAAGAGGGAGCGTGCAGTGTGCATGTGTGTCTTACTAACTTGCCTGTGGAAAAGGAACCAGAATACAGGCCCCAGAATGGAACTGAGCCTGTTTAATAACAAAAAAAGAACTGAGTTCATTCAAAGTGAACTTGGTTATGTTAAAGCAATGTTCAATTTTCGAAACAATGTATGCTTCAAAGTCACCACCGTGCATTGCACATACCCTTCTGTTCAGGATTTGCAAGCATGTGTTAGCGATCACATGCTTTGCTGAGTTGCCAGCATCATTGGACACCCAGTCTCTATGTGGGCCCAATCATGTGAGTTGCTTTAGCTACCCTGAGCTTGAGCTCCACGGGACTCCGGAGCTCTTAAGCTGGTGTGTGACCTTGTCCCCTTGCTGTGGAAATCCATCCCATTCCAGAGTTATTTTCCATGAGAACATGGATTTCCTCGGTACTTATTGATGGTCTCTTGTTGTTGTGTGCCTGGAAGATGAGAGATTTAGGGGTACTGCACAAAAGCAATTATCCAAATGGCTCCGGGACTCCCTGAAAGAGTATGAATCGTTTGACGACTCCATCGATGACCTCAAGATGTTCTTCCAAAGACTTCAGGTGAGCTCCCTATACTCCACTCTCTCTTTCTCTCTCTCTCTCTCTCTCTCTCTCTCTCTCTCTCTCTCTCTCTCTCTCTCTCTCTCTCTCTAGATTTTTTTTATTTTTTTTTTTCAAGTCCAGGGTGTTGTAGAGGCCAGTCAGTGTGTGCACAGTGATCACCTGGAACTGTGAGCCGCGGGTGTCCTGGCAGTCTTTGTTCTATTCCAGACAACGAGAGCATTTGAGATGTGCAACATATTAAAGCAATTTTATAATTAGACAGTTTTTGGTTGTCCTTGGAATACCCCTTTCATTGTTCTTGCAGCTCCCCTTTTACTGTGCCTCTTACGCACAAGGCTGCCCACGTTGATTGTGGTTGAGTGGCAGCTGCCCACATCCCTGTGTGCCTTCACGGCCCACTTGCACGTTATTTCAGGAGGCAGAATAAAAGGGAAGGTATGCTCCTGTGCATCTCTTCAGAGCTTCATACTCCTGTTCATTTCACTTCAAATCTTCAGCTTATACAGTCTTTGTGTCTGTCCTTCATCTTCATACTTCCGTTCATTTCATTTCTGATCTTCATATCGTCTATTCTCTTAATGATGCTCATTCGTATGTATTTGTTAGTAGTACAAAGGGAGTGGAGGTGATGGTGGAGGGTAAGGGATAGAGGGCGGAGTTCTCTAGGAGTATGGGGCAGGGGAGGTAGGGGCAGCGGGAAGGAAAGGAGTCCGTCGACATCATAGGCATGGTATTTTTCAAAATCAGGAAATTCTCTTCAGAAAGTAGAAAGAGTGAGTGTAGCATAAGGGTAAAGCCTCGGTCCAGGGTTTTAGGCCCGTCGGCTCAGCACGGGGAGGCTGCCGACGTCCCTTGCAGGAGGCACTCGTCACAAAGTCTCCTAAGCGATGACTCGGCTAGTACACAGAATGCCTCCACCTGTGAGTGTGCTCTGGGCAACCGCCCTAGACGCCGGGCACAGCAGGACTAGCTATTCTGTTAGGAAGGAGTGTCCAATCATCACATGGAACTCTGTGTACAAGGTTTATGTCAAGGAGAACGTCCTGTGTTGTGTGTGTGTGTGTGTGTGTGTGTGTGTGTGTGTGTGTGTGTGTGTGTGTGTGTCTGTGTTATGGATTTTCAGCACAACATTCCCTGCTCCACCCAGATTACCTCTATTGCAGACGATGAAGCATGCTTATGCTTAGGATGACCCAATCCACCATTATACAAGCAAAGCACTTGGGATGACCGAACCCAACACAGAAATAGTTAGCAATATGAAACACAATAGATCCATTATATCGTTTTCTTGATAATGTTTACCTCAGTAATCTTTGGGAGGCCATGTTGATGATGGTTGAGCGCCACCTGCCCACACCCCCGTCTACCTTAACAACACACTTGCATGCTATGAAAGGAGGTAGAGTAAAGGGGGTGGTATACTCCTGTTCGTTTTTCGTCAGGTCTGCAGCTTCTATTTTGTCTGTTCTCTTAATGATGCTCAGTCGTATGTATTTACTAGTAATACACAAGGGTAGGGAGGGATGAAGGGGAAGAAATGAAAGGGAAGGAGGTGTTCTATTGGAGGCGAGGGGTGGGGGAGGAAGAAGGGGCAGACGAAGGAAGCGGGGTGGCAAAGAACAGAACAGAGGAGTAACGAACTTCACAGGGTTCTTAATACCCACCGCTGTAGCGGGATACTCTACAATGGCTCAAGAGGCTAGTCAGTGTATGGGGTGCAGGAGGTTTAGAGTTGAGGAGCTAACCGTGCCATACGTAAGTGGCCACCCCTACAGACCAGACAGGACCGGTTCGGGTGTGGACTGTGGAAGCAGTCCATCCAATTCTTGCAGTCACAGTTGCTGAATTGAATAGCACAGCGTAGACAAATGCCACAGGCTACATGACTCCTACACGCTAGCAACACAGAGGCACGCCGACCGCAATTGTATAGGCATTGTCGTTCCAATCGCGGTCTACAAAGAGGACATGACATGTCGGGGTGCCGTACATGAGTGCAATGTTGACTGTCATCAAATGTGTGAAAACAAAAACTCGCATGGAATGGCAAAGTGTAGACAAATGTCACAGGCTAAGTGGCTCCTACATGCTAGCAACACAGAGGCACGCCGACCGCGGTTGTATAGGCATTGTCGTTCCAATCTCGGTCTACAAAGAGGACATGACATGTCAGGGTGCCGTACATGAGTGCAATGTTGACTGTCATCAAATGTGTGAAAACAAAAACTCGGGATGGACTATGTCCTCATGATCTTCACGACACAAAGCATGCGAGCCACATGCTAGCCGAATGTCAGGCGGATCCTCACAGAGTGGCATTGAGTGTGTGTGTGTGTGTGTGTGTGTGTGTGTGTGTGTGTGTGT